CTCCGGGTTGCACCGCCAGGACGCACCCAGAGCCAGGTGAGCAGACGATGGAACAAAGCAGGGGTGAAGTACAATACCTCCCGCGCGCCCGGCGCTGGGAGTACTGTCTGTGAACCTCACGACGTCACCACAGATCCAGCCAATGAGCGGGCTGGAGCCTCTGATGGGCGGAGCCCAGCTGGCGGCGCCCGCCAGGCTTCCTCTGTTTCTACGCTGAAAAGGAGGTCCTCCCACCCCGGGCATGGGTGGGGACTCAAGGCCACGCCCCTTCTGGAGGCGTGGCAGGGCATCCCGGAACGTGACCGCGACCCCCCACGGCTGAGGAGCCAGCTTGGCTAGGAGACAAGCACATAGTTGCCCTGGGAGCACGGCGAGATGTATCTTCTCTTAACTCCAGAACAAAAAGCAAAGACAGATTCTCCTCAGCCTTTAAACATGCAGCTTAAATGGACGCAATTCCAACAAGACAAGGTTTTAACAGTGTGGTCACACGTCCCAGTGGACGCGGAAGAGTCAGCAGACACTCAGCCTTCAGCATGGGAAGAGATACATATCCAGGCACACAGTCAATGTACATAAACTATACAGAATCGTAGTTACATTAAGCGCGCGTGGACATTTGCACACTGAATAAATATAGCTAAGGACGGGAACTGACCACCATCCTTCACCGTACTATGAAAGCCGCGGATAAAAGCAAGCAGCAGCAACCTGTATGTGGACCCCATAACGGCAACAGGTAAACAAATTACAGGTACTAGATTGCTGTAGTCACACACCACTCACAGCTGGAACAACAATGACACACACACAAGAGCAAAGCAGGAACGGCAGGCAAACCTGAGCACGCTTAAGGACCCAGAGGAATGTGAACTGACTGCCAGAAGTCCAATGTAAATGGTTGTAATACTGGTGGGCTGGAGCATGTTTAGAAGTATGTGTTCAAAACTGGATGGATTGGCAGGGAGTCAAATGGACTGCCATGCTAGAGCTCCCATGGCCTTTGCCCTCTCTAGCCTAGATTTCCTCATTTGTAAAATCAATGGGTGACCTCTAAGGTTCTGCCCAATCCATACCTGTTATATAGGATCAGGAAGGCAAAAGGTTGCTGGTATCTGGAAATACAAGTCTATCTAGCAGACTTCATGGAAATGGAGGTTTCCAAATTCCACAGGATAGGTATGTGGTCTGTGATACAAGCCCAGCTTTAGCTGTGGCATCAGCTGTTGGGAAGGGGAAAAACATTGACTGCTTCTTGAGATGGGAATACCAGGCCCTGTGCTGGACCCCAGCCCTATGCTGGCCTGGAAAAGACACGAGCTGAACTCTCCAGTGAGCCCTTCCCACAGTCATTCTCTTCATTTTTCCTCCAGCCCTTCCCCAGCTATCCCCTAACCCTAAAATACTGACCTGACACCCCTCTCAGAGAAGAACAGGCCTCTTCTAGTGACAGTATTGACAACCTGAAATTGCAAATAGAGTCCAGTAATGGTGAAAGTCAAGGTTTGGGGGAGGGGTGTCACTCACCTCCTCTCTAGGCAAATTCATGGTCTGTTTTTTTCCAGTCAGGAGCTTTGAGAAGACCACCTACCTCATCAGAGTGAGAAATGAGGACAGCTGTCCCCAGGGCTTTGTTATAAACACCATTGCCAAATGTGTTGCTGGGAAAGAGTACCGAACTGAAAACAACGTGGACATGATCCCTCCTTTCCTGGGACTCACGGGTGTTGTAATTGGTCATATGCCACTCTGTCTTTGGAGCCTCATTTCCCCATGGACAAGTTATAATATTACAACATACATTCCAGTTTAAAAGGATTTGGGGGGCAGGGCAGTGTAATTGAGGTCAGAGTTGTCGGAACTCCCTCGAGGTGGTATTGCAGGCATCTGTGAGTTGCCTGAAATGGATGCTGGGAACAGAACTCAGGTCCTCTGTAGGAGCAGTATGTGCCTTTACCCACTGAGCCATCTCTCTAGGTCCTGAGAATGTAAACTTTATTAGTAGTTTCAAAAACTGGGGCCAACCAGAATTACTTGAGAAGTCTTTTTAAAACATCATTTTCCTACCTTAGCCCTACTAATTCACCAATTTTGATAAGCTTCAAATACAAATACCTAAATATACAGAAAAGCATAAGGTCTAAAAATGTCACTCACGGGATATGATTATCAGTGGGCAAAGTAATTTCATAAATAGTCCACAGAACCATGGCATCTCTCCTCTATGCTGCTTCTCAGTCTGTCCTCCTCCAGTTCAAATCTGTTTGTTGTTGTTTTGTTTTGTGGCAGAGTTTCACTGTATAGATCTGGCTGACCTGGAACTCTTTGTAGACCAGGCTGTACTTAAGCTCATGGAGGTCTGCTTCCCAGGTCCATTCTTGGTCTTTCTCTCTGCCCTGGGAGTTCAAACCTTAGACTGAAGTACAGTGCTCACCAGGAATACCACTTCTAGTTGAGTTCAGCAGAGAGTCAGAGGCCAATTAGAGTGCAAGGAAAACACGGACAAGGTCCACTTGACCAGGCTGAGAATCCAACATTTCTAGAAGCTGTGCTCCTCCCTGGCTACCTCGGGCTCTCTTCCTCAAACCTCAGGCTTTGGCAGTGTGCCTCTGGACCAATGACTGCTTTTGTTACCTAACCCTTGTCTTACTCTGCCTACTTGGACTAAGTGAATTTCTGCCCTGCCCTAATCTTATCTTTGAAGACAGGATGCCAGAAGTCCCTCTTCAGGAGGCTAACTAAAACCGGTTGGGTCTAAGTTGTATGCTAGGGTGACCGCCCCATGACTTCTAACTTCCTTAAGATCCTATGACTGCATGCTAAATGACACCTCTCAGCACCTTGACAGGTGACCAGAAAGAACCATAGAAGGAACAAAAGTAGGGGCACCTGGATTCC